GGCGCACCCGTACCTACGAGAAGCCATTCAACACCCGGCGCCGCGTCAACTGGGAGTTGTGTAAAGCCGTCTACAATGAGGACATGGATCGCAAGATTAAGTTCGTTATGAGGACTAATCGCGTCCAAAGGGACCCGGCTGTCCAGCTATAGTCACTACATACACATCCCGGAGCTCACGGGCACCGGTAGTCACCGATAGAGACACCGTATAGACTGTTATATATATTCATAAGTTTGTTATAATTATCATACAATTAGCGGTAAATGAATGTCGAAAACAAGTGTTTTGTTTGAATAAAACGTTGAAAAACATGTTTTAATTACAACTTTTGCGTTTTCATACAGTTTTTTATACATAATTTCTCACAAAAACCTATGCAATCATTACGGGCGGGGAGTGAGTGAGTAATCAATTCAATAAAAACAACGATTCAATCAATTAATCGGTTTAACAAATACATCAAAAAACATTGCGATTGAATGAAACAAAAATTTAAAACTTAAAACTCATTGTATGTATAATAAGAAAAATATGCGAAACGTTTTGGCGACCAAAATGAGTGAAAAACATTTTCAATGAATGTAATGAATGACTGGAAAAAACAGGAATATTTTCATTCAAAGTGTCATTAATTTTCAGAGACTTATATTAATAAAGACTTTTGGTTTTCAAAGCGAGATTTAGTGAACAATTTGTGTGTATTTGTTAACAAACGAGTCGATCAATAATCAGGGAATTTGTGGGCCAATGGACAGACACATCACTGCCGGAGGAATCACTTAGTCTTTGGCGTCCAGTGAAGACATTTGGGATCAATTAGTTTGGGATTCTTGCGTTTCTTGAGTTTCACCCGAAACTCATCCAATATCTCCTTCTGAGTCAACACCAGGTGCTTACCCTTCCAGTACTTCAACATTCCCATCGACTGGAGGGTCGACACGATGTCATAGGCGTTGATACCGGTCTGGGAGCTCACGTCTAAGGGGTACACAAGCCGTATGATTACCGCAAGTCCTAAAAACAGCAATTAATTGACACAAACTTTTAATGGAGATATCCTTTCCCTCGTAAGAGGACAGGTATTCGAGTATAACTTGTTTCCAATAACTTCTGTACGATATGAGACCCAAATCGGAGAGCGGCTTCTCTGGCGATCCCACTTTGCCCTCAGTTTTGGTCAACAAATAGCCTTCAAATACAAACACAAATCATGAATCCAAAGACTCGACACCAGAATGTGTCCACAATTTCATGGACTGACACAACACTCACTGAAATCGATTAACATTCTGCCGAAGCCTTGTCTTTGATACGGAGGTAGTGTTAGAATACAGGAGACGTTGTACGCGAGGAATGACTGCTTTTCCTATGAGTGAGCCATCAATACAATGAGTGAACCGTATAAACGGACTAAACATTGGGTCAAACGGGACATACCTTTGAGAAGTAGCCGACGATATGACAGCCCTCGGCGTCGGCTTCGGTCATAATGTAGAAGAGGAAGGGCTCGACATCGAAGTAGAGGGTCTTGTGGTCGAGGAATAGTTTGGCCAAAAGGCACAGATTCTGACAAAACTGTTTGTTTGTCTCGCCGTCCACTTCGAAGAACGATATGTTGCCCTTCCGGTAGATCTCATCCCCTATAACACAAACACTCCATAAGCACCGGTAGTCTATAACAAGTGATTGATAGCACACATACCGGGCGGGTATCTGCGGACACACTTATGGAGGTGTCTCTTCAGAATCAGCGGACTATTCGTGTATTTGAGGCAAAACTCGCAGATATAGAGTTTGGGTAAACACTGGTATTCCTCGGGATAGGGCGATGAATACCAGACAGTCATCTCGTATCTGCCCATCTCTACGAGTCCTATACCGGCGCGCTTGACCTCCTGTTCCGCCGCCAACTGTTCCTGTATGAGCTCAGCCGCCCGCGCCTGTGCCTCACGAAACATATCCATATCGAATATAGGGGTCAACCCTTTCAGGTCCGGCTCACGGCTATCGACACAAAAACAGCACATTTTAGTCACAAAACCATTCAATGAATTCACGGGAAAGCCGTCACAAAACCTGGAAGTCTTTTGTTTGTGCGCTTTGTTCGGGGACTGGGCTTTGGAGGGACTGACAGTCAGCACATCCTTTTGCATCTCTTTGCGCCGGTTCTCTATGAGCGCCGCACACCTGTCCTCCTTCGTGTTGGGACTGTTGGCCGCCTTTTGTCGCAACTCTCGTCGATTGGCGTCCGAGCGGTCCTGTCGGCGCTGCACTCGTCGGCCGTACCGCTGCCGGCAGTCATCGCCCGTCAGGTTGTGATATATGGGACACATGTTGAGCGTCGAGTGACTGTCAAATTTGCCGCTCAGATGGCCCGTCGAGTCGCAGTCCGGGACACAACACTTGCCGTCGTTCTGCACCTCCATGTCCGACGAGTCGGCATCCGATTCGGGCTCCGTCTTAGTTACCGGCGCTTTGGGCA